GGGCAACAAAGTGAGACTCTGTCTCAAAAAAAATCTTTCTCCAAAAAAAAAAAAAATTTTTTTTTGTGGATATTCAAGAACATTTGAAGATGAATTACTGTCCAGAAAAGGTCTTGATCAGGTCTTCCTGATGAACCACATGAGGATACGCAAAGTGTAATTAGGTAGCTAAATGTACTTTCGTCGTCTTTTTTTAAAATCATCTTTTGTTATAAGGAGATTGAATTTAATCTTAGGAGGAGGAAGAGAGAAATTGTTGGCCTTTTGTAACTTTGAGCTCCTTTTGACTGTCCTAGCACTCAAATCCCTCAGCACCACATGTTATTGATATTTAGTGTATAAGTGGAGACTTGTTTTATTTTAAAACATCCAAATCTTTGCTGCAAAGATCTGGTAAGCAGGCAGGAATGTACTTCCCAAAAGGAGAAGTAAGCTGAAGATTTATTGGTCATGTAATCTGCTTCATTTTCTTTTATTTTGAACATTTGGTGAATGTGACTCTTGAGAACTGAACGTTTAGATGTTGGTCTCCAGAGATTCAGTCTCAAACTAACAAATATTCTTACTAACCCCTTTAACCTCAAGGCTTCATCCAGAATACTAAAGAATAATCATAGCTGTAAACTTCACATTTAAACTCTCATAAAACAGATTGTAGCTTTTTTTGTTGTTGTTGAGACAGAGTTTCACTCTGTTCCCCGGGCTAGAGTGCCGTGGCATCCCTAGCTCACAGCAACCTCAAACTCCTTGGTTGAAGCGATCCTCTTGCCTCAACCTCCCAAGTAGCTCAGACTACAGGTATGTGCCACCATGCCCGGCTAATTTTTTCTATATATTTTTAGTTGTCTGGCTAATTTCTAGTTTTAGTAGAGACGGAGTCTCACTCTTACTCAGGTTGTCTCAAACTCCTGAGCTCAAACGATCTGCCCGCCTCAGCCTCCCAGAGTGCTAGGATTACAGGCGTGAGCCACTGCGCTTGGCCTCATTCCTTTTTTAAAAGACTTAGCCCTGTGTGTGTTTGCTCATTTTTGTGATGATGGTATTTGACCCTTTATAACAATGAAGACAAATTAATAGAGTACTATCATTTCAATGTGAATGGGTTTTTATTTAGAGCTTTGGTGCCAGTGGATTATGTTTTTTTTAGTTCCTTTGTAATGTTAAACAGATAGGATTTACTAACTAAATAGATATGGATTACAAATGAAATAGTTTATTGATGTTGATTGTAAGAGTACTCAATAATATGATAATCTTAAGTGCTCTAGGGTGTCTTCAACTTTTTGGAGTGCAGATATGAAAGACTGCAATATTATTTGAAAATATTGATCTTTCCCCATCTTCTATCAGGAAGGGTATTCTTTCTATAATTATAAATGTTCTTGTTGCTAGCTCACGGTCATTTCTGCTTCATCCCTGTTGGGGATTCTGTTTTGTCCAATTGTTACTACATTTTGACCATAAAGCATAACGTGCTTTGTTTGCTGTTAACAGGAAGAATAGCAAAACACAAAGGAGAAGTATTTTGCCGTTAGCCAGGAACTTGTCCTGATTTAAATTTTCCTAATAACTTCTTAAGTCTGGTAATATTTTTTTTTTTCTGGTAATATTTTTAACAAGATAAGAAACGGATTGATCTTGAAACAAGCAGGAAGAAAGAATTAGTACTTAAATAGTTAATGGAAAATTTAATTTTTAAAATTATCTCAATAATCTTAATATTTCTATATTAAGTGCTTTCTAAAAAAATGTAATGGTTTTTAATAGGAAACTTACAGGAACAGCACAAGACAGACAACATTAAAAACATGTACTTGTATGTGGGACAACTCAGAAAAGTATAGTGAATGTTGATGGAATCTACCTTATGATAAAAATGCTATAAACACCATTTAGTTGCTGTTAATAAGAAATTTACTTTTTTAAAAAACCCAAATGTCCAGAAAAGTTTAACAGATCTATTTATAATTATTATAAAGTTAAATCATTGAAATTTGTTCACTGAAATATTTTGACTTGAATTAATGCTTTATGTCCCTGTGTTTATGTTAAAAATTCACACACAAATGAAAATGGAAAAGCTACCAATACCTGATTTCTGTTCCCTGTTTTTCCACTTGCATATACTTTGGTACCTTTAGACCTCATGAGGAAAAATACCTAACATTCAGAACTACCAATAATAGGAAGAAGAGATTTATTATTTATTTATATTTTAGAAACAGAATCTTACTCTTTTTTTTTTTTTTTTTTTTTAGCAAATCCATCACAGAGGTGGAGAAACACCCCTCAATACAGACTTTCCTCAGGCCAAACAAGCCTGTGGTCAGCCTGTCTGTAAGGACTTAAACTTACGAGTTAGCCTGCCACATGTGGGAGCCAATCTCTGATGCAGGAAAGGCTTAAGAGAGATCTCTTTGTTATCAAGCCTTTGCCATCTCCGATATAATATATGTGACAGAGTCAGGAGAAAACTTAACAAACGTGCCAGAGGGATCTCACTCTTTCACCCAGGCTAGAGTGCAGTAGCGCGATTATAGCTCACTGCAACCTTGATTAAAAATAGAATGAGACTTTTAAAAGAATCGTTTTAGAGATGGAGTCTCACTGTGTTGCCAGGGCTGGACTCAAACTCTTGGGCTAAGGATCCTCCCGCCTCAGCCTCCTGAGTAAATGGGACTATAGGTGTGTGCCACCCTTTCCCAGCTAATTTTTTATTTTTCATAGAGACAGGATCTTGCTGTGTTTGCTCAGGCTAGTCTCAAACTCCTGGCCTCAAGCAATCCTTCAGCCTTGGCCTTCCAAAGTGTGGGATTACAGGAATGAGCCAGCACATCTAGCTGTGTTTTGTTTCTTTCTTTTTCGAGACAAGAGTCTCACTCTGTTGCCTGAGTTAGAATGCCATGGCATCAGTCTGACTCACAGCAACCTCAAACTCCTGGACTCAAGCGATCCTCCTGCCTCAGCCTCCTGAGTAGCTGGGACTGCAGGTGCATGCCCTGCGCCCACCTAATTTTTACTATTTTTAGCAGAGACAAGGTCTGGCTCTTGCTCAGGCTGGTCTTGAACTCCTGAGCTTAAGCAGTCCTCCCACGTTGGCTTCCCAGGGTGCTAGGATTACAGGCGTGAGCCACCTCGCCCAGCCTGTCTTTTGTTTCTTTCTGCAGGACATCCCAATGTCCTGTTATAGGACTTTTGGACTTATGGGCCTTTTATAGCACTTCTGTTGAAGATACTAGGACCACTCTTAGTGGCTCAGAATGGCTTTCTCCTAGTTACTCTACTCAAATCATTAAAGAGTTGGCAGAAAGTATGATGAGTTGATGGATTTTCCTAAGTACTAGTGAGGGGTAATCTAAGGAGGAGAGCCTCAGCAGTACCTGTCTTTCACCTTTAGTTCCTAATAAACGGGCTGCTATTTGTGGGTTCTGGTCCCACTGAGGGAAAAACCAACCATAGGGACCATTTCATATTAAGGAGGCCAGGGGATCTTTAGGACTTGAACTGACATTCCAGTGGATTTTTATGTGGCTTCTTAGTCTTCATATAATCTGCCTTGTTACAATGGTTATTTGGTTTGAGTTGTTCAGAGATAACCCCAGTAACAGCTTCCCTTAGTTTTGTTCAGATCCTAATGTGAATGTGAAGTCCTAAGTAGTAGCTTGCTTATAAGTGAACACTCTAGCTTTTGATCTCTGTGCTGTACTTAGTAGCACCTCCTTAGAAATGGATCAAACACCATCATTTTCTGCGTTTGAAGAGATTTCCTTATTAAACTGGTTTATAACTTACTAGAATTATTCCTAGTGCTTATAATAAAGCTTGGGATTTCGGCTGATGTTTTCTTTGTTTAATGAGTGGCCAGTAATTCTAAAGACCAACACATGAGAGCTTTTAGAAATTTTTTTTCTCATTGTTAAAACCAGCCTTTCCTTATTTGAGTATTATGTACCTTGACTTCATAGTTCTGCCTATACCAGCATTATAAAAGGACTATATTATATGTAATTGTTTTGAGGAAATTATTTACCCTGTGAGGTAAGTAAATACTTGTTTAAAAGTAGAACTTTGAGCCTTGTCAAAAAGTTTGTCTCCTTGACATGAATTTTCAAAATGCTTTTTGTTGTTCACACTAGTCATTTTTTTCTCTCTTCAGACTCACACTTGATTGAGGTTCCTCATCCTACCCTTACTCATTATCATATTACTTGTAAATGAACTTGGATTAGATAGGGAATGATAGTGTTACTATGGTGTAGGTACAATGTGGATATTGCTATATGGTGATTTTTTTTTCTTATTCTTTTTCAGTGTTCCATTGGCAAGCTACAATAATGGGACCGGTAAGTATTCAGATTAATTTCAGAATAAATAGTTTATATAATTTACTCACGTTAATCTCACTTTTCTTGTCATTAACAGAATGACAGTCCATATCAGGGTGGAGTATTTTTCTTGACAATTCATTTCCCAACAGATTACCCCTTCAAACCACCTAAGGTAATTGGGATGTGGCAATTGTTTTTGATGTGCTTTCTATGATACTAATAAACCAATTTATAAAAAGTTTTCCTTTTTTATATAGGTTGCATTTACAACAAGAATTTATCATCCAAATATTAACAGTAATGGCAGCATTTGTCTTGATATTCTACGGTCACAGTGGTCTCCAGCACTAACTATTTCAAAAGGTAACAGAATTGGTATTTGATATCAAGATAAAACAATTGTGTTGTCTTTTTAAGATCCTCTGTTTTTGAAAAGATCACTCATGTTTCTTTAAAGAAGAGGTAGCAATTTCTCTTATTCTGAAATAGACCTTGAGACAGCTAGAAAGAGTTGGATTTTCAAGCATGAGTATTCCTTGGCGTGCTAACTAGTCTGCCGATTATGCTGTTCAAGCGTAGGTTACAAGATGGGTACTTGGTATGAATTTTTTTAAGAGCATAAAGTAGAACACAATTTAATATCCCTTCCAATCTTAAGATTCATGAATGGAAAGGACAGATACTCTTCCAGAATAGGAAATATCAGCCCTTTAGAAGAATGCTTGTGCTGTAAAAATAGACATTAAGTTCTTGAAGAACACAATATAGGCAGTTTCTTTTTCAGACTGTTAAAGGTTTCACCAGCTCTTGTCTTTAGGTTTCTATCAGGAACAGATTCATCCTCTAAAACGATCAGTTTAGTATAAATTTTTATGAACATCTTAACAGTTATTGTTTTTGTTGTGTGTATATGTGTGTATGTGTTTGAAAATGTGTAAAGAAAGTTAATTGGCTGAGTTTGTAATGAAAGATCCAGTAGTTCTTAATAAGACCTAATTACTTACATGAGTAGGGTAGGAATTTTTTTAATCAATGAACTGAGTGGTGTAGTTTACAGACATTGTTTTATGTGTTGATTTGAAGTTGTACACCCCCTCAGTATCATCCCCAGATGAAATCAAAGGTGATTAAAAACCAAACCATAATTTATAGAAGAAAACAAAAACGAGTATTTATCAGACCTCAGCTTTCTATTCTGAAAGTGATGAAAGAAAAGAGCTCACTAGATTTGTAAAATATGAAAGCAATTGTTTAACAGAAAAATCATTTTAATGTACAGTTAGAAAAAAAGTCAAATATGGTAATGAGTTAATATGTTTAAAATATGAAGAATGTAAATCCATAAAAGAAGAAAACTCAGATCCCAACAGATGAATGGACAAAGAGGAACCAAAGAATAAAGAAATGAATGTTAAACTAAGTTCCCATTTTTTGCCTTTTATTTTTTTTATTTTTTTATTTTTTTTGAGACAGAGTCTTGCTCTGTTGCCCAGGCTAGAGTGAGTGCCGTGGC